ACGACGACGACGACGACGACGACGATGACGTACCTTGATGATTCGTTTGGGCAACGACATAGCGAAGGAGGCAGCCAAGCTTGAGAGTTGGGAAGCGATAGTGGAGGAGATGAGGGTAGCAGGAAGGAGTGCCGGTGTGGGCTCGGCTCGCGGCTCGGCACTCCACAATTTGGCTGCGAAGCGGGATTGTGTGATTGTGGACGGGGCGCCGACTGCACTGAGCCGCAATCGATTCCGTTCACATTCACACGCGCCGCCCGCTCGCCATAATCGCAAAATGTGTGATCGAACGCGATCGACATTTCAATGGGGTTTGAAACTGAGGCTCAGCCGCTCAGCCACGGACGAGGCAGGAGTGAAGCGAGCTTGGGCCAACAACGCAGCGTGATGCAATCACCCCAACCAGGGCAGTGCACCCGACCCACGCCTCGCCTCCACCATCTTCATCCTCCATCACCATCCATCGCTGCTACCAAATTTGGAGCGCAGCACCTCCTCACCTCATTGCCGACGGTAGCCAGTATCCGCCGCGCCAGACGCATTCAACTCTGCGCATCCACCGCATGGTCCCACAGCGTCATCCGCACCGCACTCTCTCTTGCGACTCATCCCACAAAGCCTCTTCGTCCGACCCCGCCGCACGCCTCTACGCAGCCCGCTTGGTCTTCGCCGCCAGTATAGCGTTTCTTCTGCTCGCTCTCGTCCCCATCTGCGTGCCTACTTCTCCTGCTGCCGCCGCCGCACCACTGCCTCGACCCATCTACCTCCGCTCCCCCTACAGCTGCATCTTCTTTGCACCGCTCCTCATCCCCCTCACCACCTATCTCGTCATCGCGCGCTGGACCGGCGAAAAGCACTACCGCCATTCGTAAACCATGCCGTCCTCCTCCACAATCTCCTCCTCGGACAAGTCCAAGGTCAAGTCCGCCATCCCTTCCTCCAACAACAAGATCATCACCGCAACCGTAGGCCGCGTCTATGCTGCCCATCCATCCCCATCCCAGTGGAGCTACGCTGGCGTAGAAGGCGCCATCGCTTTCGTCCGCGACCTCTCCAAGGCAACTTTCTACTTCAAGATCGTCGATCTCAAGGGCACCCGCGGCGTCATCTGGGAACACGAACTCTACGATGGCTTCCAGTACAACCAGGACCGCACCTTCTTCCACTCTTTCGAGGGCGACTCCTGCTTGATCGGCTTCTCCTTCGCAGATGAGTCCGAGGCCAACGAGCTCTTCAAAAAGGTCTCAAACCGTTCCAAGTACGCAAAGTCAAAGTCCTCCTCCTCCTCCTCTTCCAAAAAGAAGAAGGCATCCTCCGGCGGAAAGATCGACAAGTCCATGATCGGTGCTCCATCCGGCTTCAAGCACGTCGCCCACATGGGCTTCTCCGCAGAGCACGGCTTCAGCTCCGAGAACGTCGATCCCACATGGCAGGCGCTCCTCGAACAACTCGGAAGCCTCGGCATTAGCGAGAAAGACATTCGTCAGAACGAGAGCTTCATCAAGGACTTTGTCGGCAAACGTGGAGGCCCCGGCGCCGCTGCCAAGCCCGCTCCTCCTGCCGCTCCCAAAGCCAAAAAGGTGCCTCCCCCGGCTCCCACCAGCAAGCGCAAGGCGCCTCCTCCTCCTCCCGCACCAAGGTCTCGCCATGCTGCCACCGCCTCCTCCGCCTCCGCCTCCAACGCCCCTCCTCCGCCACCTCCACCGCGTTCGGGAGCTGCTGCAGCCGC